AGGATTTTACCAGTTAGTGGTTTTTGGAAAAAATCCTGAAGACCTAGAGTAAGTCATTTCTGTAGGAATATGTCTTTTTATCTTATTTTATTTTGTTTCCTACAGGGCATTTTTCCTAAATCCTTTATCCACATCAAAGAGGTGACAATCGAGAAAAGAAGGTATTTGCTACTCTTGGCCAGATGTGACCCTCCAGTGGCTCATGGATGTCTTTGTCCTGTTTACTTTGAAAATCTGACCCGGCAGATCTGAAGGGTGCTCAGCTCATCTGTCTTCTTCATGCCTGTGTTTATTTGTGTCTGCTTTCCCTTACTCGATGGGAGATCTAATCCACACTGATTCCTGCTCAGATCTGATTCTGAGAGGGTATCAGTCAGTTTGGAGAATCAAACTTTTCACTGGGGGCTGCGTTTGCACTGTACTAAAGTAGATTAATCCTGAATAATGAGGACGAAGAGCCCACCCCAGTGAAGGAGGACATTCAAAAGAAAGCCCCTGTATTTGCATAATGCAATTGGTGTGGCTATTAGACGCAGTTTAGTTTAATGTCAAGATGGCCCTTCTCTGCAGCTGCAGCTTAATGCAAATTTGCCAGCGTTTTAGCTTGTTAGCACCTGGGTCTCAATTTCACACCGTTTTCTCTCCCCCCTTAAATAGAAATACTGAGAACATCATTCCCGCAGAAATTCCTCTGGCACAAGAAGTGACAACGACACTTTGGGAATGGGGGAGCATCTGGAAACAGCTCTATGTGGTGAGACTCAAAACCCTGCGCCCCGGGATGGAGGCTTCTTTCAGTCTTCAAATTGGTTGAAGTTTGGAATTTAGTCATGATCAGAGCAGGCCAAGATGGCTTTGGTGACATAGCAGAACACACACTATGAGGATGAGGACATCAAGGCCCAGAGAGGTTAGATGACTTTCTCAAAGCCACACAACTAGCTAGTGACAGAGCCATAATAAGTGAGGTGTGGTGTGATCCTTACATTTTTAAACTAGTGCAAAAGTTGTCAAATTTGAGTGTGCATAAGAATCACCTTGATGGCCATTACGAATAAAGCTTCCTCTGATGGGGCTGGATAATCTGCATTTTTAATAAACTCAAGGGATTTGATTTGGTAGTCTGCTGATAACACCTGGAGAAATACTGTTCTCATGTATTAATTAACTCATGGCTATTTTCCTCAGATCTATGAAGAAGGTTTGACCCTGGAAAATGAAGAAGACATTTTGCATTGTTTTCCCTGTTTTGAAGCAAATCTAATTTTAAATTCTCCTTGATGCTCCAAAGCTCCTAATGAAGGCAATTTAGCTAAGCAAACCAGTAAGCGGAGAGGAAAAATGTCCACCCAGGCTTCCTGCGTATTTGTTATGTTACAGTGCCGTGTGCAGATGCTGGTGTGTGCACACGATTTGTAGACTTACCTTTTATGGTCTTAAATGTCAACTGCCATGTAGACAGTTCATCATATGTGGTAATTGGCACATCCAATTCTATAAGTTCCCCAAAAGTTGCTAGGGAAGTTTAGGCGGCAAGCAGTATGCTTGTGTCTAAAGTGATTTCTCGTCCATCTCCACTACCCCTTTTAAAACATCACCTGCCCATGTACCATAGAACTTGGCATTTTCCCTTAAGAAACCTTCAGATAGCAAGTCC